TCTCGCATGCTGCAACTAAGACCTGGTGCAGCCAAAATAAATAAATAAAAATAAATCTTAAAAAAAATAAAGATCACGATAAAACACACATAACATAAAAGTTATCACTAGGTATATAGTTCAGGAGTGTTAAGTGTATTCACATTGTTGTACAACCCATCTCCAGAAATTTTTCATCTTACAAAACTGAAACTTGATCCCCATTTTCCCTCCCTCCAGGCCCTGGCGGCCACTCTTTTACTTTCCGTCTCTATGATTTTGACTACTCTAGATACCTTACTCCTTTTGTCAGTGGCTTATTTCACTAGCATAATGTCCTCAAGGTTCATCCATGTTGTAGCATGTGTCAGGATTTCCTTCCTTTTTAAGGCTGAATAATATTCCATTTTATGTAATATATACCACATTCTGGTTATCTATTCATCTGTTGATGAACACTTGGGTTCCTTCCACCTCCTGGGTATTGTCAATAACACTGTGATGAACATGTGGGTGTACGAATACCTGAGTCCCTGCATTCAATTCTTTTGGATATATACCTAGAAGTGGCATTGCTGGGTCACATGATAACTCTATTGTTAATATTTTGAGGAAGAGATAAATTCTTTTAAGCTCTGCTGAAAGGAGACAGCAGACCCCGCTATTCCCCGCAAGCCCAGAAACTACATAGAGGTTTTTGTAGTGTTTGGAACCCAAAGCCTGACACCTGCTCCCAGAACTGAGCCCACGTCCTTCCCTCTGCTCGCCAGCCATGCAGGTGCTGCAGTCCCTGCTGGGAGAGAAGCATCTGATGCAGGGAGCAGGGAGTTTTGGTTCTGTCCAGTCCCAGCTGGGACATGCCGGGGCAAAAAGCTCTTTGGGCTCACACTCACTTCCCCAGGCCCAGCCCCATGGTTCCACTTTCTGTGTTCCCGCTCTGCTCTGCCGCCATTTCCCTCCTCGGGACCTCGCTTGTTCCCAGGCCTGAGCAGCTCCTGCCCAGCCCCCCTCAGCTGTCACCCCTACTGACCTGCACCCCTGCAAGATGTCTTGGGACCCTTCACTACCCCCACCCCCAGAGCCAGCATGCCCTAGGCCTTCCCTGAGGTCCTGGGGCTTGAAGAGGACTTGCAGCTAACTTTCCACCACACAGGAGGGAGCAGAGTCAGTCCTTCGGAGATTCACAACCACACATGGCTCCTCCTTGAGGAGATGCAAGTACTGAATATCTTTTTCCAGAAGGGATGTTCCCCCAGTGAACATCTACCAGGGAGGGGCATCCCTCCAGGATGGTCTCCACAGCTGTCTCAGGGAGGACTTGGCAGAGAGTCATTCATGTATATAAACCAAGCTACAGAAAATCTAGCAAACAGGCAAAGAAGACAGATCACCCCTCAAGCCCCCATGGTTCCCAGCTCCGGGAGCGTTACTGGTTTCCCGTGAGTTTTCTGCACATGATGGGCAACTCGATGTGTGTCTGCTGCTCAGGTGGGGCGCCCTCGACACCCAGAGGTATCATCACGTGGCAGACTGTCGTTCGATTTGTGAAAGGGCACACGTCTCATAGCCATCAGGGCCAGTGCCAGAGGAAGAAGTCCACAGGAGCCCAGGGAAGGCTCCAGGCTGCGGGACAGAAGCCTTGTAACCTAGCAACCAGCATGCAGAGGGCTTCCAGCCTCTGCCAGCTCACTCACCCCTGAGCAGAGGCAGCCTCCTCCTCTCTCCCATACCCTGCCCTTGACCTTCCTGACTGCTGGCCTGTTTTCCACCACCTTGGGCCAACATGCCTCACTGGTGGACATTGAAGTGGACAGCAGAACATTGTAACCACCATGTCCAGCACTGCACCATCATTAGTCCCCTTTTCTTCCTGGAAAGGATCATCCCACCCACTTGGATGTTGTCTGAAAACCCCAGGCCACATGACAACACCTGCAAGAGTGGACGGTGCCAATGCAGCAGCAAGGGCCCCAGTCCCCAAAAGTTCCCCTGACCATCGGCTGCCCACAGCAGGTCCCGAGCCAGTCACCTTCAGGCTCCAAAAACGCGACAGAGACTGTGGAGGAAACTCCAGCCCTTGGTCCTGGCAGGCACCCTCCTCTCAGCTCCTTCCCATGGCAGCTCCCTAGCCTCTCTGTGAGCCTGGGATTCCCTCTCCACACCCCACTCGGCTCTTGAGGGACCTGGGGAGGCCCAGACCAGTGTTTTGGGGGTGGAAAGGGCTCGGGTGACGGCCAGCATAGGCCTGGCTTCCAATTCCATTTCCTCCATTTGCATATTGCATAAGAGCAAAGAAGAGTTTCCCACTCAGACTCTTATTTTCCTAAAATAGAAAGCAGGGTGCTGGGAGAAGGAAATAAGAGCTGAGATCTCTAAGAAATGACACAGGCACAGGAGGCCCTAGGGAAATAATAGTGATAACAGATATCGAGCGCTTGGCATGTGCCCAGATGCCTATGTTACACTATCATTTTCACCAACACCCCACTCTCACCAGTTCCCATTGTACAGAGGAGACTGAGATTCAGAGAGGTTAAGGAACTTGCCCAAGGTCACACAGCTAAGTGATGGAGCTAGGATTCAAGCTCAGCTCTATCTCCAAAGCCCACCTTTTTTTTTTTTTTTTTTTTTTTTTTTGTGGTACATGGGCCTCTCACTGTTGTGGCCTCTCCTGTTGAGGAGCACAGGCTCCGGACGTGCAGGCTCAGCGGCCATGGCTCATGGGCCCAGCCGCTCCGTGGCATGTGGGATCTTCCCGGACCAGGGCACGAACCTGCGTCCCCTGCATCGGCAGGCGGACTCCCAACCACTGCTCCACTGGGGAAGCCCCCCACACTGTATATTTCTTACTGATGACTCATTTATTTTGCAGGTGGAAGTTTGTACTACAGGAGCTTCTTCTTGAAGGTCAGGGCTGGACCTGATTTCAGCTGGGTCATGGGACAGGCAGTGGTGTCTGTAAATGTCTATGCAAGGAAAGAAAAAGACGGAAAGAAAAAGACAAAAAGTACAGGCAACACAGTGGCAAGGGGCACTCTCAGCGACCAGAGCATGGTTTCTAAACACCATTCTCCAATAAAAGGCACCAAGGCTTCTGGGAGAAATGTCTGATTGTAGGGTGAGGGCAGGGAAAAGACAAGAGGACCCTGGAGCATCTGATAGCACCAGGCAGTAAGGAGGTGCTCAGAGAAGGGAACAATGGGGGTATGGCAAAGGGTCCCAGGAGCCAGACTGGGGGAACTCCCAAAGCTGGAACAATCTGAGAAACAAAATAAATAATGTAGTATTAGATTATAGTCAAAAGTATAAATTAAATATACATGAGTCCATACTGACATAAATAATTGAATAAATAAATGGGGGAGAAGAGACAAATCTTTCTTACAGAAGAATTCCAAATAATTTATTTGGATGCTGCCCTTTCCAGGAAGCGGGGCGGAGTTCCCCCTGAGTTCCTTCCAAAGAGCAGCTTTACTGTGGTGAAACCTGGAAACACCACCTTAACCAAGTGGTCAAGTTTAACATCACAGCGAGAAGTCACGTGGATATGTCACGTGCCCCCGGGAGGGTGTGATGAGAAGGACACCTTACCTTGGTAGTATCCTCCCCCTAAAATTCATAACCCCAGTCTAGTCATGAGGAAGACATCAGAAAACAACAAATTGAGGGACATTCTGCAAAAATACCTGACCAGTACTCTTTAAGACGGTCAAGGTTATAAGAACAAGGTCAAGGAAAGGTTGAGAAAGTGTCACAGACAGGAGACATTATGACTAAATGTAACATGGAATCCTGGTTGGGATCCTGGGGCAGAAAAAGAACAGCAGTGAAAAAACAGATAAAATCCAAATAAAGTCTGTAGTTCAGTTAACAGCAACGCAGCAATGTTGGTTTCTTAGTTTTGGCAAATGCACCCTGGTAATGTGAGATGCTACCAACAGGGGAATTTGAAACTAGCTGAGGGATATATGGGAAATCTCTACTATTTTTGCAACTTCACTGTAAATCAAAAATTAAAAACAAACAAACAAACCACACACACACCCAGGCAGAATAAAGAGTAGAAAGAAACACAGCAAAATGTTCGTTATATTTGGGAAAAGAATGTCCTCTTTTTATTTGTCAAATGTCTTTAATTAGGGTTTATTCTTTTCATTTTAAACTTTTGTTATTATTTCTGATTAGAAGTCCTCTGTTATTTTATAGTGACAAAAAACGAAATAAAGCATTTTGTACAATATCTATATTATCTCATTTAATACTCACGATCAGTTTAGAAAAGATTCTTTCTTCCATTTTACAGATGAGGAAACTAGAACTCAACACCAAAGTGATTTGCCTAAAGTTATATAACAAGCCAGAGGAGGGGCTGGGACTTGAACCTCTGTCTGACTCCTGAGGCGCAAGGAGATGGAAAATCCTTGTCCTCTCTGGGGTCAGGGGAAGTGGCTGGTCTCTCTCCTAAGCTGATTTCTCTTTAGCCCAAGGAAGAATTTTTAAGTAGAATTGCGTCCTGGAAGGGTAATAAGCGGCAGAGGACCATGGAGTGTCCCGGAGAGGGATTCGGGAGACCTGATGCTCTATCTTCCTCCTCAGACCCAAAGGGCAGGCTGTGTCCCTCCTGTGAGACTCAGAACTACACCAGGAGGGCCGTGTTTCCTCGTTCGGAGAGGACAGGGGGGATAACGAGGGTGAGTGGGAGTCGGGGGGTTCTCCATCTTCATCCTCGTCTTCCCTCCACTATGGGGCACCTCACTGATGACTGGGCACGTAGGGACCAGCTCTTATTTACTCAGAGCCTCCCGGATGTCAGGTCCTGGTCTTGACCTTCTAAATCCTGCCCCCAATGTGAGAGGTGGGTACTGCAACCCCCTTGTAGAGACAAGGGAACTGAGGCCGGGAGAGAGAGGTGGCGCGTCCCAGAACGCGGCGTCGCATCCCCAACGCCCCTGGGCGGGGCGCTCCAGCCACCCCCGCCCCGCTGGGCCGGCCGGGCGGGGCTGCCGCGCTCGGCGGCGGGCGGGCCGTTCAGTGTGCGCCCAGCGAGCCTCGCGGACCATGGAGCCTGTGTCGCTGCAGGACTTCGTGTGCGCCCTGGACCCCGCCTCCCTCCCGCGTGTGCTGCGGGTCTGCTCGGGTGTCTACTTCCAGGGTGAGTGAAGGGCCGAGACCCCTCCGACCTCGGCCCCGCGGCGGACCGGTTCTCCCTGCCAGGGCGTTAGAAACCCGGGACACTGCGCCCTGGGTTCGAATCCCGACGCTGCCGCTACCCAAGTTGTGTGATTTGGGGCCACACTCCAACTTCGCCGGGTCACGGCTTTTGCTTGCGTGGAATGCGGGATCACTGATTGCCCCGCAGGGTGGTGATGGGAAGTCCATGAGCTCAGATGCTCAAGTGGGTGGAACCGAGCCAAGCTGGGGCGGAACGGCGTTGCGCATTGCATGAGGTCGGACCGTGCAGGGTTGCGGCATTCAGGCGCTCACGACGCCGGGCTATTGCTTGATTCTCAAGAGCCAGGTCAGCCTTCCCCTCCGTATGCCCTCCCACTCCTCCCCTTGGACGTTTATCCACACGTCCTTCTTTCAGTGCCCCCATCCCGCCTTTGCCCTCTGCTTGGCACTGGGCCGTACTTGATCCGATCAACTCTTCAGTTCTCAGCTAAAATGACTCCTCCTCCGGGAAGCCTTCCTGGCTCCTTGCACACCCGCACATCTGCCCACATGGCCGCAGCCCACCTGGTTCACAGGGATGGTACACAGCTGGGGCTTAGTAGTCATTGCCTGAAAGGGTGAGAGGGGAGGGACTGACAGGCAGTGAGGGGAGAGGCGGCGTCTCTGAGGGTGAGGCAGGACCTGTGGGCGACTGAGTGGGAAAGGTGGAGGGCGAGGAGAGAGGGAAGTGAGAGTCTGGGTGGGGTGCAGGAGGCTACTTCCTTAGAGAGCAAACTACGTCTGAGTGCCCTGCTTCATCCTGTTCCCTCCATCCGCTCCCTTGCTCCGCCACAGCAGCTTCCAGAAAAGTGTTCTGAGGCCCCAAGTGGGGTTCCTAGATCAAGGGTGAGACGCATGGAGGGCCCCACAGGGGGCAGGACGGGCCACCACACCATGGGGTCTCGCCAGGCCCACTTGGGAATCTGAGGGATCTGGGTTCAAATCCCGCTCTCCCTGGGGGCTTCCTGCAGGCATCTGTGCTCTGTTTGCCGTCCGCCTGATACCCCGTCCCACGGTGTGTCACAATACTTGAGTTTCCTCATTATGCTCCCCGCCGGGGGGTGGGGGTGGGGCGGGAGTGGCAGAAGTGAGGGTAAGAGGAGAAGCTGACAGGATGAGAGTGTGGGGGTGGGGTGAAGTGGAGGGGCAGGTGGCTGTGGTCACCGCGTGGTTAGGAGCCCCAGTTCGGAGGCAGATGACCTCCTATTACCCGATAATCTCGGGCGGCCCATTCACCCTTGCCAAGGCTCGGTTTCCGTATTTAGAAAAGAGAAACTGTCCTTCCCTCCAGGGGCATTCATGAGTCTTAAGTGCTATGACACGTCTGCAGTGCCGAGCACAGCGCCGGGCATATAGTAAGTGCTCAGCACCAGGGCTGCTCTTGTTACCAGCCCCGAGCGTCTGTAGACAGAAGTGTGTGTTTTATGAGCCTGTGTGTATTTTCCTGGGGATAAGGGGTGGGATTTTCATCAGTTTCTCAGGGCTGTTGTAAAGGACCCTGCCGGGGCTGCCCTGGGGATGCAGTAGAGTCAGGTGGCCTGGAGGCTTGCCCACCTGCACTGTCTGTCCCTCATCAGCAGGATGGGTCGCTGTGTGAGAGATCTTTACTGAGCACCTTCCATGCTCTGGATCCTGCTATAGCCCTTTAAACCTTGTAAGTCAGGGCCCAGACCCGCCTACTGGGCCCACCCTGTCAGCAGCCCGCCACCCGCTCCTGTGCTTCTCTTAACAGCAAGTCCTCTGAAGAAGAAAGCGCCAGTGTGGGTGTTTGGCTTTGTGTGATCTCGGGGCAGTCACCGAACCTCCCTGGGCCTGATTTTGTAGCTAATAAGGGAACTGGGATTTACTGGGTTGTTTATTCATTCATGACTTAAACACACACACTTCGAGGCTGGGCCTGTGCCGGCTGAGATGGATCAGTCCTGCCCTGTGAGCTGAGTTCAGGAGGCAAGGGGATGTGACCACAGAGGGGTACAGTCAGTGCTAAAAGAAGGCAGAGCGGCATCAGGGAAGAGCATTCCAGGCACCGGAACAACGTGTGCAAAGGTGTGACCGAGCAGTGCCTGGGGGGAACAAGGCACGGGCGGCGCAGCGCTTGGCCTTTGCTGAATGGGTGAAACTGACTCTGTCTCCGCAGGCTCCATCTACGAGATCTCCGGGAATGAATGCTCCCTCTCCACAGGAGACCTGATCAAGGTCACCTGTGTTCGCCTCCAGAAGGTGGTCTGCGAGAACCTGGGGACGGGCCAGACCATGGAGCTCGCTCCCAACTTCCAGGGTAAGGCAGGCACCTCTATCTCCCTGAGTGCCCTGGAACCCTCCAGGCACACCCTCGGGCACATGTGACCCCAAAACAAACTCCCACCCCTCTGGGTTGGCACACACTGCTCTCACATCCACCACTACCCAGCCCCGAGACCCGAATGTCCTCTGAGTGCTCTGACGGTGTCCTGAGCTGGCGTGGCTGCGTCCTCTCCGTGTCCATCTCTGATTACATCTGCCTCTTGGCTGGGCCTTTTTTGTTTCATGTCTTTGTCCACGTGCCAGTTTTCATGTTCGCTCCCACATTCACTCACCAAACATTTATTGACACTTGCTGTGTGCCAGGCCTCGTGCTGGGGGCTGGGGTGTGGGGTTCAGGATGAAGCAGATGCAGCCCTCTCCGGCGGGGAGTTTCCAGGATGGCAGTGAGGAGGACAACAGCACAAGTAGGCACCAGTTTGGAGAGGGCTCCGGGCAAGAGTGGCCTGCCTCTCCAGAGGTCTGTGCAGGCAGGCTTCCTGGAGGAGGTGGCACCTCAGCTGGAGGAAGGATCCCAGCTAGAGGGAGTAGCATGAGCACACTGGTGCTCCAGAAACCCCCTGTAGCGCATTCATTGCAGGAGGTGTGTAGTGTGGTGGACCATGGGCCTGGACGCTGAAGCCAGCAGCCTGGATGGGAATCCCACCTCTGCCGGCTACTAGCTGTGGCCGTGGTTAGTTCCCGTGACCTCTCTGTGCCTCAGCTTCCTCTTCTGTAATGGGGCAGTCAGCCTTGATGTGACGATTAAATGAGTTGCCATGTATGATGCACTTAGAACAGGGCTGGGCTCAGAGCAGGCACCCTCTGTGGGCTTGTTCTCAGTATGGCTTCCTGTGATCGCTGAAGGGGACCAGTGAGGGCATGGGTTCCAGGTGAGGGGCAAGTGGTGGGGAGGTGAGCGGGAGCCAGACTGCAGGGGGGCGGGGGGAGCTTGTGTGGGGCATGGACACATTTCGTTCTTTTTTTTTTTTTTTTGACTTAATTAGGCACATAACCCATTTTTATTATAGAAAGAAATATACATATAAGTAAAAAGATCATGTCACTTAGTCCCACTGTTCAGTTAACCAGTTCACATCTAGTGCATATCATTCCAGATATTTTTGGTGTACATACATGTGTATAAATATTTTTACAAAAATAGCATACTATGAATACCATCTACAATGGTACCTTGGCATCTTTATCTTACTTGATGTGCATATAAGTCTGTATCATTAAGACTGTGTAGCCTCCTGCTGGACAGATACACAACACCTAAAACAACATCTTTGTGTATCTCTGGTATAATTATTTCCTTAGGATAAAGTCCTAGAAATGGAATTGGAAGGTCTAAGAGATGATGAATATTTTGAGGCTTCACACTGTTGTCTTTAGGCGGTATCTGTTATATCTTGCTTCCAAACAAATTCCTCTGTGTAGCCAGTGCCCAGGCCACAGCTTCCAGCACAGGTGAAGACGGCCAGGACGCCCCAGTCGACACTCCTGCCCAGTCTGTCGGCCTTCAGGTAGTTGAGCAGACGAGGCATGACGTGGAATTCAAATATTCTCTTGGCACCACAGGGGCAATCTGGAATATCCTTTTCTTGAGTGATATTTTCACCAGAGATCCAGATGGGGGCAATCCCTCTGCCGTATCTGAGAATCTGTTCTGGTTCAAGGGATATTTTGGTTTTAAACTTCTGGAAAATTCTATCTTCCCTAGATTCATGTTTTGCCATGGAATCCAATTCTTCCTCAGGTGCTTCACCCAGGCTACCTATAATCTCTGATTCATCATCTTTTTTTCACAACTTCAGGCATAATCTCATCTTCTGTTTCTATTACAATTTCAAATTCTGGAAAAAGGAAGCTGTGGTCTGGAACTGTACTGTCCAAATCACCTTCTTGTGTACAAGCCTGCTTATGTCCCTATCTCCAGTCCAGAGTCTGATGCTCCTTGCTGCAGTACTGTGCCTTGTGACATCGGGAGCATGTTTTGGGGCCTAAACAGCCACAAACTCTGCAGAGATGAGCACCGGACTCGAGCTGGAGGCACACGGATTCTCCTGTCTCCGGCGGAGGATCCTCAGAAGGTGGCTCATAGGCGTAGAAGTCATTTCTCCTAGGCAATTGATTTCTAAAAACGCGTAGGCCGGCGCAGCACGGTGGCGTTCGGCAGCAGAAAAGGAAGAGACCGCGGTGAAGGCGAAGGCGCGGCCCGGAAGCGGTGCGTACAGCTGCAGCAGGAAGGCCAGTGGGCGGCCGCACAGCGCGCAGGCCAGCCCCGCGGGCCCCGGCAGCCCGGCTACGCCGAGCCACGCCGGCCAGCCGCCCACCTTGCTGGGGAACTGCTCGCTGCGCAGCCGCCACGCCGGCGCCGCCTCCACCTTTTTTTTTTTTTTTAAAGGCTTTATAAATTTAATTTTATTTTTTTATAAATTCATTTATTTATTTAATTTTTGGCTGTGTCGGGTCTTCGTTGCTGCGCATGGGCTTTTCTCTAGTTGTGGTGAGCAGGGGCTACTCTTGGTTGCAGTGCACGCGCTTCTCACTGCAGTGGCTTCTCTTGCTGTGGAGCACGGGCTCTAGGCGCATGGGTTTCAGTAGTTGCAGCACACAGGCTCAGTAGTTGTGGCGCACGGACTTAGGTGCTCCGTGGCATGTGGGATCTTCCCAGACCAGGAATCGAACCTGTGTCTCCTGCACTGACAGGCAGATTCTTAAGCACTGAACCACCAGGGAAGTCCCCACATTTCAGTCTTTATTTTGAAGGTATTAAGTAGCCAAAGCGCTTTTAAATAGGGAAGTGATGTGTTTTGTTTTGTATTTTGAGGGTTTTTAAAAATTTTGAAATAATTTCAAATTTACAGAAGACTTGCTAGAACTCCTGTATACTGTTTATCCAGATTCACCAGTTAAGCATGTTGTTACATTTGCTTTCCCTCTCTCTGTATATTATATATACATACACACACACATATATACATATGAACATATATTACTATATATGTGTGTGTATATATATCTTTTTTCTGAACCATCTGAGAGTTATAGACATGATGCCCCATTACATCTGAATATTACTCCCAGTATTTAGCATAACTCCTATAAAACAAGGACATTCACTCACAAAACTGTAGTTCAGTGATTAAATTCAGGAAATTTAATATTGATACAATACTACTGTCTAACCCACAGTCTGTATTCAGATTTCACCAGCCGCCCTACTAATGTCCTTGATAGCCCGGTGTTTGCCTTGATCCAGAATCTAGTCCCAGATTGCACATGACATTCAGTTGGCCTCCTTTAGTCTCCTTCAGGCTGGAATAGTTCCTCAGCCTTCCTTTGTCTTGCTATCAACATTTTTGAAGAGTCTAGATCAGTACGTTTGCAGAATGTCCCTCAGACCGACTTTGTGTGGTGCTTCCTTGAATAGATTTGTGTTGAGGGTTTTGGGCAGGAAGACCCTGGAAGTGATATTATGTCCAGACATGGGGTATTTTAGGCCAGTCTGGTGGCAGAAGAATGGACAGGGCAGGGGGAGGGGTAGAGGGGTGGTCAGAGGTCATTTGGCCGGTAGCTCCTGGGTTTCTAGTTTGGGAGGGACTGTGGCACTCACCCACCCAGAATGGGGTGGTAGGTGCTGGTGTGTGGGAATGGAGCAGTGGTGAGGTATCTGGAGACAAAGATGGCAAAGTGAGAGGCAGGTGGGGTCGGCAGGTAGGAAAATGTGGCAGTGTGTCTGTTCTGTTCTGTCTCTGGTGACAATCCCTCTGTGTCCGTGCCTGTGTCAGAAGGAACTGTCCCCACCCCTGCCCTCACTGTCCATTTGCAGTGGTCACTTGCTGCCTGCCATCCCTCAGCCCTGCAGCCTGGATATCCAGATGCTGGCCCACCCTTGGCCCCTGTCCTCGGGGGATTCTGGCTGGTTCTCTGCAGCCAGACCTGGGCATGGGATATGAGGCCCTGGGCTCGGCAAAGGTCTGCCCCACCCTGACACCCCCTGCTGTGCCCCACAGGCAACTTCAGCCCCCTCACTGGCCCCCAGAGCTATGAAACCCTGGAGGACCTGGTCTCTGCTACGACCCAGAGCTCCAAGCAGCTGCCCATCTGCTTCATGTCGACCCACAGAATCACCACCAAGGCCAGGGTGGTGCCTCAGGAGCAGCCCCTCAAGCTTGAGGCTGTGGAAATGCACCTCGGGACCTGCTGTGCCCGCTGTGTGCTGGGCACCGGGGCCCAGCAGGTGATTCTGCACCTGCCCCTGTCCCAGAAGGGGCCCTTCTGGGAACTGGAGCCTGGGCCCCCTCGGACTCTGCTCCAGGTGCTGCAGGACCCGGCCCTGAGGGACACCATCCTCACCTGCCCCGTCCTCCCCTGGCACTCCCTGACCCTGATGCCCCAGTATGAGGTCGAAGCCATCATGCACTGTGAGTTCCCCGGGCAGGTGGGTGGGCCGGGGGCGGGAGGGACAGAGGGGGCCCTGGGGAGCTGCTCTGATGGGAAGATGCCCCCTATCCCCGTGGATAGTCCAGGGATTCCAGGTGGCTTACCTGGTATATACAACGTAACAGAATAAAGAATCCCCAATAGTGGAAGTTAGGTGCAAAAGGAGATAGGAAAGCGGGTAACTTGAGTGAGGTCCCACGTACTTTATAAAGTTTGGCAAAAGTTGGGCTGTGAGGTTGCCCGCAGCTAGGACAAAGAAACACAGTGTTAGAAAGTGCAGCTCAGGAGAAATATATTTTCCTGTTGCTGGGGAAAGCAAGATTGTTCGTGAAGGGCCTCCTGTCTGGGAGGGTACTGTCTGGCTGAATCCCCCAGCTGTTTCATAGGTTACTTCTTAGGACAGGCTGGTGGCTGCACACAGAGGGTTGGTGAAACCGGAGGCAGAAGCTGGCCAGGTCTGGCCGGTCGGAGGCCAAGCTGGAGCAGAGGTAGAAGAATGGGTGTATGTGTAGAGGTCCCCAGGGCACCCCCATTCTTCACCCTCCACTCACCCTTGGCCTCTTGACTGGCCAGGTTCTGCCTCTGCCTCACCAACCCTGCTCTGGATGCTGCCAGCAGCCTGACTGAGTCCTGTCCTAAGAAACAACCTAGGCTTTATTTACTAGTTTTTGTAAAAATAACAAGTTGACTGCCTTGGAGAGTGAGGCAGCTCAGGTAATTTATAAAGCATTCTGAACTAAAAAACAACAGTATAATGAACCCAGATGTGCCCATCTCCCAGCTTCAGCCGATTATCAGCTCATCTGGCACAGAGCAAAAATCCCAACCATGTGACCTGAGGGAAGTCACCACCGCTCCTCGGAGCCTCAGTGTTCTCATCCACAAAACAGGGAGAACATTCCGTGTGGTGCGGCTCAAACAACATAGTGGGTGGGCCAGTTTTCCTCAGACTCTTACAGAGCTTACGCACCAGGCGCTATCAATGCCAGGACAGGAGGAGGTTGTCCAAAGTCATGTAGTCAGTGTTTTTCTTGATTTGGTTCTATCTATTTAAATCCAGAAAGGATTTGGAAAGACAGCTTATAAAATTACATTCAAAATTCAATTAAAATTTTAAAAGTGAACTGATTGGATATTCAGTGATATTAAGGAATTATCAAATTATTATTATTTCAACGTGATCATAGCCTAGTGGTTATTATTTTTGAAATTTTAATTACCCCTTCTTTTAGCAATACACGTTGAAATAGTCACAGATGGCAAGATGTGATTATTCTGATTCCAAATAATCCAGTGGAAGGGGAATGGATAGATAGGGGTATCAAGGAAAGAAAATGGGCCATGGGTTAAATGTTGAAGCTGGGTGACAGGTACATTGGGGTTCACTATACTATTCTACTTTTATAAATATTTTAAAAACTTTTTATAGTAACTTTTCAAAAAGAGGTTGAAGGAAAGAGTGGGCAAGGAATCTGGTACAACAGGAAAACGCTGGTAGGAAAGAAAAGATGAAGACAGGAAAGAGGTTAGCAGGCTCAGACCTCTGAGGGGTGGAGGGTGCGCACCTGAGCTGACCTCTCCCCTCCACAGTGCGCAGGACCATCGTCAAGATCCCCTCCACGCTGGAGGTTGACGTGGAGGATATCACCGCCTCCTCTCAGCACATCCACTTCATACAACCGCTGCTGCTGAGCGAGGCCCTGGCCCGGGGAGGCCCCTTCCCCCTGCCCACAGAGATCCTGGAAGTTCCGGAGGGGCCCCCCATCTTCCTCAGCCCGTGGCTGAGCTCCTTACGGAAGGGCCAGAGGCTCTGCATCTATGGCGTGGCCTCGCCACCCTGGCGGTTCCTGGCCTCAACCAAGGGCCGGAAAGTGCCCAGACACTTCATGATCTCTGGGGCCTACCAGGGCAAGCTGCGGCGGCGGCCGAGAGAGTTCCCCACGGCCTACGACCTCCTGGGTGCTCTCCAGCCAGGCCAGCCACTCCGGGTAGTGGCCACAAAGGACTGTGAAGGAGACGGGTTGGAGAACCCCGGGTTCATGTCCCTGGCCATGGGAGACAGGCTGGAGGTGTTGGGGTCTGGCCAGGCCCTTGGGGTTCAAGAGAGGGACATGAATGTCCTGGTGTGTCAGCGGCTGAGTGACCAGCCTGGGGAGGAAGAGTATGAAGAGGCAGAGGACCAAGAACAGATTCTGCTGCCCCTCCACTTCTCTGGCGGCTTCGTGGAAGAGCTGGGTGATGGCCGGCGCTACAGCCTGCAGGATCTGATTGCCCAGTTCCCACTGCCCTGTGAGGTCAAAGTGGTGGCCAAGGATGCCAGCCACCCTGATGACCCTCTGCCCTCCTTCCTGGGCCTGCGGCTGGAGGAGAAGATCATGGAACCCTTCTTGGTGGTCAGCCTGGACTCCAACCCTGAGATGTGCTTCGAGGTCCCTCCCCGGTGGCTGGACCTGACTGTCGTGGAAGCTGAGGGGCAGCCAAGCCAGCCGGCTGGGCCCCTCCCCGTAGTCCCAGTGGAGGAGCTGACAGAGGCCTTCTATTATCACCTTCGGAAGTCACCGGCCTTTGAGGGTCAAGCTCCCCCGCCCAGGCCTCCGAAAAGTAAGGGCCTCAGTGGGCAGAAGAAGCAGGTCAGCAAGGCGAAAGGCGTCAAGGTACCAACAGAACCCAAGTGGGCAGGGAGGGGCCACCTGTAGGGATCATTAGGGTCCTGCTGTTTCTTCTTTGTCTGTCTGGCATCACGCCTCTTACAGCTGTACAGGACATGCAGTTTGTTTATTTATTTTTGAATTTTATTTTTTTATACAGCAGGTTCTTATTAGTTACCTATTTTATACACATTAGTGTATATATGTCAACCCCGATCTCCCAGTTCATCCCACCGCCGCCACTACCCACCCACCCCCACTTTCCCTCATTGGGGTCCATATGCTTGTTCTCTACATCTGTCTCTATTTCCAGAATGTGCAGTTTATAAACGTGCACGCTTTGTACCTACTATTCGATCCTGACCATCCTGACATTGGTGTGATCATTCATATTTTACAGTCGAGAAAATGAGGTCTCAGCGACTGTGAGACTCAAAGTCACACAGTTTGTAAATGGGGGGGCCTGAACTGGAGCGGAAGCATTGTGACTCCAAGTTCACGGTGCTTTACCTCTCTCTGCTACCCCTGCTGTCACTCCCTAGCTCAAGCTACAGCATTTTTCACCTAAACTCTTCCAGCAGCCTCTTCAACCCCTCCCCACGGCTGTCAGAATGGCCTCCCACATCCTTCCCTGGTCACTATGGGGCCTCAGCCCCACCTTCTGAAACCTTCCATGGCTCCCCATTGCTGGGGGTAATGCGAACCCCTTAACATGGTATCCAGGGTCCTTCATAGCTGACTTCAGTCTCACCTTCCCAGGCCCACCTTCCACCACTGCTCAGCAGCTCCAACCACAGAGGAACTCCTGATGCTCTCGGTATGCCAGGATTCCTGCCTCAGCACTTCACACGCACCAGTCCTGCCAGGAACATTCTTCCTCCTTTCAGGCTCACGGGCAAGGCTCAGCTCACATTTCCTCCAAGGCGGTGACAGTTCTCCCTCTTCTGTAGTCACCCTGCACGCTGTACATAGCTTGGAGGTGGGAGGCCATGTAGTTTTAATTAGTTGTACTTGGTCTCTGGCTAGAACAAGAGTCCTGTGGGGCAGGGACCTCCCACTCCAAGGCAGGCAGAGAAAGTGCCAGTGAGTCCGAACTGAACCAAACTGAATCATGACAAGCGGGCAAAGAACCTCAGAGTCAGAAACACGAAGTTCACATCCCTGTTTCCTCACTCTGTGGGCTGTACTTCCTCTCTGGGCATGTTTCCTCACCAGTGAGCCTGGGATAACATCACTCTCAGTGCTGTTTCGTTAGCCTCTACTCGTGGGGCGCTTACCCTGGGGTGGCCCCTTATGCATACGTACTGCCCCACCCAGCTCTCACGGCGTCCCTCTGAGGTGGGCGCTGATAGCCATGCTCTGCTGAGAATGGGGGGCGTGGTGGGGTGGGGGGAGTGATCTACATAAAAAGCACTTTGTAAACTGTAACAAGCATACTGTTTTGGGATGTGCAGAGACTTGGATTTCGTACTGTGTGGGGAGGCAGTGGGATGGCAGTGGAAGTTAAAAAGATGAACCCTGAGCGATCTCAGCCCCAGAAGGGGCTCGTATCTGTGGGGCAGGGGGTAGGGTAGTCGTTTTCTGACAGAACCAAAAATAGACTGGGACATCTGAAACACAGGCCTTGTGACAGTGCTGGAAAGAATGTGGTACAAAGAGCTGAGACCTCCGTCCCAGCCTTGGTTCCTGACGGCTCCTCTGGGATGGCTCCTGCTTGTTGCCCTAGAACCAGCAATTTCCCTCCCTGGGAATCAGTATTCTCCGCTGCTCATCAGGGAGCCGTACTGTTTGCTTTTGAAAACATGACGTGGTGGGAAGAGGAGCGGCTTTACAGGTCACAGACATGGTTCTGCGTCTGAAGCCTGGCCCGGCCAGGGATCCCGTGTGAGGCTTGACATGGCACACTCTTTCTGAGCCTGGTTCCTCACGTGTAAACTGGGAACTCAAACAGCTCCTCAGAGAGTCACTTGAGGGTGAATGAACAGATATGCATACAGCTTCTGGCACATGGTAGGATTTCAATAAAAGTCCTCTTCCTTCTGGGACCCCTCTCAGCTCTGTACTGTTTGTCCTGAGGCTTTGTGACTACTTTTTTCTCCTTTAGCAAAAGATTTGGAGGACAATGACCAAATCCCTGTGTAAAAACGCAGAGACACCCTGTCTCTAGCCCCCAACCCTATCATGTCTCACCCTGGCCCCTTTCTCCCCTGCCAAAGAACAGTTCAAGTGCTTGTAGCAAAAACACCTGGCGTCCTGAGAAGCCATACACTGAAAAGTTCAGAGAGGAGCAGAGGAAGTGAGATGTGAAGGAAATTGCATTTCAGGTACTCTCTTACCCCATTTCTTGGGACCCTGCTAACTTCTGCTTTTTTTCCCACTTAGTCTTCTGAAGCCTTCGAATTGCAGGAACCATCTCTGATGCCTAAACCCAAGAGGAAGACCTTGCGAAAGGTCATCAAGGACAGCTGCAATTTATACAGTGAGATTCCTGGTCGCAAGAAAGGTCTCAGGCCCACGAAGCCCATCACTCAGGATACAAGTGAGTCTGTCAGCCCCTGTTCACCCCTGTCTTTCCTTCTCCCCTCCCCCATGCCATTCTGCTGCTGCTTTTGCCTCTGATGGTGCTGGCCATACCCTCAGCAGGGCTCTGCTCATGAGCGACCCTTCCACAGTCCCAGTTGGATGGACAGGCCTATATGAGATGGGCGTAGGCTGAAGGGTCCCTACTGTCCTTCTCCCAGTGGCTCCAGGGCCCTGGCAAGGAAAATGAGTTCATCCCCCAACTACCCTCCCCAAGGCACACAGGAGAATGTTTGCAAAGTGTTCAGACACAACCAAGTGTGGTTTCTGGGCTAGCAAGGACCTTAGAGCATCCAGACCAAGCCCTCCCCTGTTCAAGGGACGAAAGTACCCTGAAGCGGGGAAGGAACCTAAGGCCAAAGGTCCTCACTACTTGGGTTCTTTTGCAGATGACGAACACGATTACGAAGAAATACTTGAGCAGTTTCCGAAAACCCTCTAGGTGCTGGAGAAACCTTACTTCCTAACTGCTGCTTCTCAGGGAACCCGAGATATCAGCCAACTATTACAAGCCTTTAGAGGACCCTGGACAAGGTCTCTCAGAAATCAGACTGTGGACAAGGAGTGGCCGGGTGGGGACTGACTGGAAATAGGATAGACCCTGCACCAGCTTCCCTCTGGCCCCTCTGGGCCCAGCACCTTGCATTTGGCTCCTTCAGGTTCAGAGCTTTGGTATCAAGTAGCCAGCTGGGTTCTACTCAATCCTGCACCCCAACACCAGTTGTCCCACTTGTTACTGCAGAAAGGAATCCAAGACACTGCCCACCTCGGTGACAGCAGCACAGTGCCTCCTGCCTCTTGGTAAAGGGGACTCAATCCTGATGACACACTGCACTGAGAGCCTTCTGTAATGCTGGCCGCCCCTGCTCCACTCTCTCCTCTCTCTCGCCGTCCCCCACCCAGGCTCCGAGCCCCTGAGGGACCAGGACTGTCTTCCTCAACTCTGCAGCACCCAGCACATGACCGTTGTAGGTGACTATCCAAGATTATTTCACTTTAAAAGCACAGAATAAAAATGACATCTGAGCTTCGGGAAAAATGATTAAGAGATTATCACTTATTAAGTTCTGTCTGTGTACCAGACCCTTTACAAACCCGATCTAAATCAACTCTCTGAGGTAGACAAGGCCTGGTTTTAAAAATCAGGAAACAAACTAGTCTAGTGTGCTTCAGCGGGCAGGCTAGTCATGGGCCTGGGTCAGGATCCTTGCTCACCACCTACAAGTGATTTTAACCTCTCTAAGCTTCAGTTTCTTCACATGCAAAATGAAACTAAGTTATCTACCTCAAAAGATTGTTTTAAGGATCGACTGAGATAATATCTGTAGAGCATTTATCACAGTGCCTGGCTCATAATAAATATTCAGTAAACATGTTAGTATCATTACTGTTGGCCAAGATCTGAAAGCTGTACCTGTCTCTAAAACCAACACCCCTTTCACATGCTTACACTGTCTCCTAGTCATGGAATTCATCCCAGTGTTTATACTGTGTTCCTGGGCTGTGGAGACAGAGCCAGTATAACGAGATAAGAGAAGAAATACAAGCCTGTGCCTATGCAGAGAATAACTCAGTTTCCAGGGTCAGTTAAGGCCTGTTCAGTAAGGTAAGACCACAGGCCTCACTTCCTAGAAGTAGTGGGACTTGGTTTCTTGGGCTAATGCAGTCACGGAATTAAGCACCATGGTCAGCGGAGGACCGGAGAGAGACAAAAAGATGGAAGGAGTGTCCAGTGGAGGCGGGAGCCGAAAGAGGGTCAAATTCCCACTCCTGGATTCGAGGCACTACACCTGAGTGTGTCCTTCCTTTGCCTCCTAACATCCCTCTGGCTCTCTGGACCCATGTACTTCCCAGGCCGCCACACTCCAGCAGGGCATTCTCCAGGTGACCACTGAGCGGTGACTACGTGCTGCTGGGCCAGTCCCCAGTATCTAGCACCCATGCTCATCTCCACACCAGTTCCCACGCCCTCCTCCACAGATGCAATCACTACCACACAGGAGGACCCTGAGGAAGAGAGTACTCTGGGAAAAGCAATAAGCAAGAGACAGAAAGTTCCTCCTTGGCACCGAACCCCTAGGGATCAGGACCCCATGCAAATGTCCACAGTTTCACGTTCACGTTTGCAGTTAATCTTGGCGCCAAATTGAGCAAGATCACAAAAGGGGGGCAGAGGAGAGGGGCCACCAGTTCCCACAAAAGGGGGTTTCTGAGTGGCCAAATGCTGCCATGAGGAGAAAGCCACCAATTTCATAGCAGGGAAAGCTGGGCTTAAAAGGAAAACATGTTTGAAAACCACAGCTGTGACTGTCTTACTAGAGCAGTAAGGGTAGGAAGGGAATGGACCAAAGGCAGATACCACCCTCAGGGTGCTTTTGTCTTCTTTACCTCTGGAATAAACCGCTGGGCGGTGGGGAGGGAATTATAATGGGGCTAGAGATTCCCCCAAGCAGTGGTCTCCAAAGTGAGGACACAAGATGATTGACTGGGAAACAGAGAAGAATTACAGTTGACCCCCAACACGGTCAAAAAATCCACATACAACTTTACAGTTGACCCTCCGCACCTGCAGATTCAACCAACTGCAGATCGTGTAGTATGTGTTTATTGGAAAAAATCTGCGTATGAGTGGACCTGCACAGCTCAAACCGTGATGTTCAAGCGTCAACTGTATTGGTACATCCTTTCATATTTATTTTTAATATCCTTTTTCATTTCTAATTTTGAGTGTTTTGTAATATATATAACAAACTAATATAGTAACTGATATAGTAAATAACTGCTAAGTAAATGAATATAACCTGGGGATGCATGCTCAAAAATTTATCGAGTTTTGAATTTCCCTCAACAACATTTTAAAAAACAAATCTATTAATTCACATAGGACACTAATTCTTACTGGCTTTTCTCTAGTTAAATCCAATAAAGTACCACTATTTCCCAAGGAGCCTCATCTCCCACTGTACACCTAAAGAGATCTTCCTGAGACTAAGCTAGACTCATGGCTTGGCTGTGACACTGGGGATTTCTGAGAACTTGAGTCATAGTGCGGTCCCTGCTGTCTCAACAATGTACTAAGAGAACACTGTATACCTGACATCTCAGGTGACGACAAATATACAAAATGCAAGTTCCCCTGGCTTGAGCAGGTAGAAGCTCTACAGAGGCTGGCGTTTCACTCTGCTGAGCAGTGGCCTACCTCTGCTCAGCCCCACGGGCCTCCATAGTGCTCAGAATCCACAGAGCTCCTGTGATACCGTGTCAATGCCAAGGTGGCAGGGAATTCAGTATCCCTGAGTAGCTACTCTGTGTTATTGGGAATGCTGAATCAGCAAGTCCTGGGACACCAATCTGTTATTTTGCTTTATATTCCTAGTAGCTGACCAATAGGTTGACATAGTAGGTATTCAATAAACACTCGCTGAGGGCTTCCCTGGTGGCGCAGTGGTTGAGAGTCCGCCTGCCGATGCAGGGGACATGGGTTCGTGCCGCGGTCCGGGAAGATCCCACATGCCGCGGAGCGGCTGGGCCCGTGAGCCATGGCCGCTGAGCCTGCGCGTCCGGAGCCTGTGCTCCGCAACGGGAGAGGCCGCAACAGTGAGAGGCCTGCATACCGCAAAAAAAAAAAACAAACAAAAAAAAACTCGCTGAATTAATGAGTAAGTAGTTTTTGATTGCTAAATCACAGAATTCAAAATCAAAAGAAAAAGTGACTTCCACCCAGAACCACTGCTATTGCCCCCTTGCCCATTTGAGGGCATTAGCATGGTAACTAGAAAGAGAAGTCCACCACCCATAGAAGTATCCTATCATGCATTCCATATTCAAATGTATATGCTTTTTTAAACCTGTTTTTAGCCACTGTCCTTTCTTTTAGGCAACCATCAAGAATGGACATACTTGCAAATGAACATACTGGGTGACTGACTTTTAAGCGTCTGCACAGCTCCCCAGATGGGAACTATCCTGCATGTACAGAAAATAACAACCACATTGTTGTTCACTGTCAGAAACCAAGGGAGTGGAGCCTTCTCCACACAGCTGCTGGTAGATCTCATTTAGAAACACGGTTAAAGCAGTTACAGAACTTTTATTTGCATGTTACACCTCATTAACTTATCTCTGAATTAGCTGAGATGATAAAGTATTAATTATTACAGTGTAAGAAAATAAGAACATTTTTACAAGTTACTGCAATAATAGAACTATTTTATTAAACATATGAATGTACTTATTTTGTACAAAACACATATCTTTCTCTCTGCCCCATGAAGCCACCATTCTAGAACGCCATGCTTATAAAAACACACTTTGGGCAGCAATTATGACAAGGTGAAAGAAAGTGCAATTCTGAAAGTAACAACACATAACCACATAACCAAAGTGGGCAACAAAAATAGGCAGAGGTTAGTGGGCTTCGTGGCTAGCTCTCTGCTGACAGGCCCTAGTCCTGCTCTCAACAGGAAACAATTTAGGCATAAAAACTCCTGAGTATTATTTAAGTAATACCGCCCAACCCTCTTGGTAGCATCCCTCTTCCAATTCCATTTATCCTGATATTGTAACTAATTTGTAAGTTCTTTAAGAAATTCCGTTCTGGTTTACATCCCTGTCAGTTGCCCATATCCCTCTGAGCTTCAAAAACACAAAAGAGTAGTAAGTTTCAAAAGGATGTCAATTGAAACCTTTTATAGATGAAACCTACTTCCTAGAAGTCAACCTGCCAAATATATGCACAGCTGGAGACGAGAGACTGCGTAAAAAGTCCAGCTGGAAAATATCTCGGGTACCCAATTAGATCCAGTTATTCTGCATCTGTGGATTTAAAATGATCATCATCCACAGTGGAATAGATGTGTCCCTCGTTGCTTAGAAAATCCACAGCTTCCCTAGAAAGAAAGAAAAAACCAAATGCAGAAGAAAGGAAACTGCCTTTTGGATATGGCCGAATATGTAAACTTTACTCATTTCCCTACTTTCTATCTTAGCTGACAAGAATTCATGGCATTTGCTCATGGAAGGCTCTTGCAGGGAGAAACACCAGTAAAATTACAAAACTGAGGTAATCCTTGGAGACAAAGGCTTTAGGGCTGCCTTGGATGCCTCTCCCAAGTTGTGTAAAGCAAAGAAAATAGGACCTCACTTAAATACCAGTGTAAGCAAACTGAAACCAGGATCTAAAGCTATAGTTCCGGTTGCATATAATGTCTCCCAATATAAACAGCTATATAAAAAAAATAGCTCCTCACTCATCCACCGACCCTCTCATTCCCCTCTGGGAAATCAAGTTGCAAGAAGGAAAGGAAAGGTCTTTCTAGAAATGGTATGACACCTTCAAATCCTTAAAGGCTCTCAGGGTCAGTGTCAGTAACATATTTAATAAGAGTAACAATTTATAGAGCACCTACTATTGTGACAGACATTCTGCACCTCATCATCACAGTAACTCTAAGATAGGAATTATTATCCTCATCTCATAGGACAGGAAATGGAATTAGACCTGAGTATTCTTTTCTATCGAGACCTAGAATATCAACTGATTTATAGTAACAACTGTCACAAACACCATAATACTCAGTTTGTTTGATTAGTTCATTAGAATCAGGAAGCTGCTTGTCTAACAGGTTATCAGGACAAGGATGTTGGAAGGACTGTCTAATGGCTTCAGGTCCAGATAGCCTGAGGAACACTGCACAGTGGGGACAGCAATGCCAGTGCAAATGTACACCTGAGGACTAGGAGCTTAGGATCTCATTCCTCCAGACTAAATTCCACGAGAGGTATCTGGTCAATTTTTGCTCAAAATTACATCCCTTGCACATAATGGTACTTAGTATTTGCTGAATGAAAAATGAATGAGTGAAGTGACAGGCAGCACCATCTTTGTGAGTCCTTTTTCTACTTTTTCATGACTGAACAACTTCGCTTTTGTTAGTCAATAGTTTTTTTTTTTTTTAATTTTTTAAACTTACTTCTCATTACCGGGAAATCCTGGTGAGGGGAAACGGGTACAATTCTGGAGCCCTAGTTCACAGAAACCAAATACTCACTTGATGGAGGGTACGGTCATGTGTTGGAGCTGATTCTTGAGATCCTGAAAGTTCAATCCTTCAGGTCTTGGGCAAGCCTTAATCAAATTCAGTACCTGAAGATTCAAATCAGAAAGATTTTAGCAACTACTCTGAATCAGCTCCCCTATGTAAGCCAGAATCCCTTTATAGGAAAGAAATGAGTAAGGTACTTAGCACCATTAAGGAAGTAACATAATTTAAAACTAACTGTCTGTGTCTTGCATGTCTGGAGCCACTCAGCTGTTTACCTGGTTCTGGGCCACAGTGAGGCCATTTGCTGGCATGAAGATATTCCCACCGAA